CAGCAGCTTTACACACAAAACAACTTCTAAATTGCATATCGCCACCAGGAAAATAGTTTTCGAACAAATGATAAGTGCATCAACAACGAAAAAAAGGAGGGCCTCAATGCTATTCATTTAGGGTGAGAGAACTGACCTGTCCTAGCTCAGGATCTTGCACAACTGTGCCATTACAGCAGAATTCCTTCTTCAGATCCTTGAGTATCTTGTTATAACTAAACTCCTTCTTCAATCCTTGGACAGTTGTCAGGCTTTTTCTCCCGTTACGTTGCTGTATGCGCACATGAACGTACTCTTTAGCCCCAGCTCCTGAGTCCTCAGCATTTGCATCAGCAAATGGGTCTAACCACCAAATAAATTGATTAATTTTGAAACAAATATATAGGCTTCTACTGCAACACAAGAAATCGATTAGGGACTTGACAAGTTACCAAAAGCAGATGGAATCTGCACGTTGAATTCAGACATGAAACTTGGCTGTCCGGAGTAGAACACAGGTAACCAACCAGCAAATAAGATATTTGCCCTCAATTAAGCTGTGCTCGAATCTGCAAGACACAATAGATCCAGAGTTGAAACCACAAGGTACAGAGGCATCGATTTGTTAAAAATATTAATAACAAATAGTAATCAACCCCTTGTCCTCATATAGCTACAAGTCCCACGTTTAATCTATGATCCTCTCAATACTTCTTGATCAACGATCAAGATACCGAATACTAAAAAATTCATCATATAAAAAAGATAGAAAAATAACAAATGAACAAAAACTGTAAATTATGAAAAGAACACAATCATCAAGGGTTTTTTTTTTTTTTTTTTTTTTTCACAATTACACATTCTGTTTCTCCAAACCCATGGCCGAACAATTAGACAATCAAATGTTCTTCTATGGGATCAAACAATTATGAAAGGATAGTATCTATCTGCTTTTTCTCCACGAACGCAAGAACCAACTCTGTCTTTGGAAGATAAATCATATATCTTTTGTTTCTTCAAATTAGATAGCAGTTATCATGTCAATATCTTTCCAAGAACACAATATCAAAGCAGCCGCAACGGGGAGAGAGAGTAGACTCGGGATTCAAATATTGGGATCAGTTAATTAAAAGACTGAAACACGCTTGATCAGAGAGAATAACGATCAAACAACGGAACTTTTACATCCCAAAACACTAACAGATCTAGCGCTTCGATCCGGGCACAAGAAAAAAAAAATACACGCAGAAAAAGAAACCCTAACCCAGATAGATAAATTGAAAGTGCTCGAGAAGAAATAAATAAATAAAGAAACGGAAAAGAAAATTATGCATCGATTAACATGAAAGAAACAGAGATGAACAAAAATTTACCGGGAGAAAAAGCTGTGAATCCAAAGACGAAGAGACCTGAAACAGCAAGGTTCCAAGGTCAATGAAGTTTTAATGCGAGAGAGAAATTATGCAAGCCACACAAAGCTCTATTATATCGATTACAGTCGGTTTTGGTTTTTCTCCTATTTATTTTTTTACGGTGGAGATAAAATTTCGTAGTTGATCTGACGGTCCATGGTTGTTGCCAAAACGACGTCGCTTGCTTTCTTTTTTATCTGGTTTAAAACCTTCACTGCCCGTAAATTACACTGGCATCGGATCGGATATAGCGAGAGCGGTAATTCTATACGGTCGCTCACACTTTAACGCCTTTTTAAAGGGTCCCACCTAATCCTAATTGACCACTTGGTCAACGCCAAAAATGTTCACCAATTTTCCTGAATTTCGCGGGAATTTCCAATTTGTTTAATGCGAATAATTGTAATTAATAATCAATTTAATTATCCATAAAATAAATAATTAATATATCATATGGCCCCACTTTAAATATCATAATCATGTATTTTAAAATTAAAAAATTTAGTACATCATTATTTCAAATAAAAATAATTTATATTGTTTTAATTTAAATTTAAGAAAGTCTATCTCAAAAGTTTAATCTCACGTCGAAGACAATGTCACCATTCTTGATTTTAGAATCCAGATCACCATTCAGTAGAACCTCCCTTATCATCGTCTCATCTTCATCCCCGATGACAATATTATTTTATTTCATTTTATTTTAAAATTTTAAAAAATCTCTTCCATTCAACCATTAATTGCTTCATTTTCAAGTCTTTGACTATATAAGTTAAATATTATAAATGGAAAACTCACAAAAAATCAGACTTAGAGTTCAATTCCTTTCAAATAAATTATTGATATTTTAAAATATAAATAAATAATATTCGAGTATTTCTTGTTATGGATAAAATCATTAATTTAATATTTTCTATATAGAATAAAGAATAAAATTCTATTTATGTATAAAACTAATTTTTTTGTTTCACACAAAATATAAATATAATACAAAAGTAGTAAATATGAATTTTTATTATTTTATTATTTTAATTTTGCGATCTCATGTAATACGGCGATTATTTTCTTATCAATAGTGATCAGAGTTCACCACAGCTAACGGTGCCTTTAAAAACATAGAGAAAATCGCCGTTTTGAACTCCATGCCATCTTAAACTACACTTATCTTTCATAATCCTCTGTTCGTGGATAAACAGATAATCGTCGTCGGGAAGAATTTTTCCGGCCAAAAGCAATTCTCTGACGTCGCCGACGGTGCTCGAATCCTTCATTTCCATCGGAATACACGCTGCATCAAGCAAGCTCGACGACGTCTTCACCACGAAACTTACCTTCCTCCATGGACAATCGCTCAAACGACTCATTGTTTTAAGAAACACGGTGACTTCCGAAGATTCACCGATTCCGAAATCGCTCAGATTCCGGTAATCTTCACCTAATTCCACGCCGGAGTGAAATAAAGAGATTGCTTGAATCGGTGTACCGTAGATTATCTGGATTTTCTGCTTTAAACTGTGAACCGTCTCTGTTTTGTCGATGTCGATGTTTATTTGTCGGCCGGAGAATTCGACGGAGATCGGAAAGTTGTTTGGCGGTGCGATGATTTGGTCGATTGAGAGATCGATTCGCGAACCTTCTGAGATGAATTGATAATCCTCCATGTCGAGTCCGTCGACTAATTCGCAACCGTAAACAGAGAGAGTCTGGGATTGGATGGGGATGCCGATGAACTGTTCGATTTTTCTCTTGATTTCAAGAACTCGTTCTTGATTGCTTATTTCTATGGCGAATTCATGTCCCAGTGTGACTACGAAAATCTCCATTGTTGTAGAAATTTTGGTGAATTCCTTCTGGAAAGTGAAGATTTATTGTTCGAAATCATGCAGAAACGGTGCTCCATTCTTCTGAAGAGCGTGATCGATTCCAACTGACAGCAGATCGATTCTTGTGATGATGGGAGCAAAAACGAGAAACGCTTCCAAATAAAATACAAATATTGATAATTTCTTCAAATAATCTTTGTTTCTTTCATCCTCCATATGAAAAAAAAAAAAAAAAAAAAAAAAAAAAAAAAAAAAAAAAAAAAAAAAAAAAAAAAAAAAAAAAAAAAAAAAAA